AGATTTAGGAGTTCTGGTGCCCGATGATTTAAAGTCTTAAGCCAACTGTGACAAAAATGCCTTCCGAGCAAACCTAGCACTGGTAACGTTGAAGTGCGTTTTTGGACAGTTTAACGGAAGAACTTTCAATATAATCTTCAATAGTTTTATCCGCCCTCATTTAGAGTACGGAAATATAGTATTTCTTTCCTCACTCCAGAAGGATAAGGACACTTTGGAGGGCTGCAATTAAACGCAACTCAATTTCGTAAATGTGCCCTTCAGCTTAGCAACCAATCAGAATGAGGCGGGAATTAATACATCCGCCATCTTTGTAAGTAATGGCAGTAGGCTTTCTTTGTTCTCTGCTTCTTTCAGTTACTTCTTTTGTGTAGCTATGTAATTTAATGTTTCGGTCTCATAAAATGCCGCAGTTAGTGTAATGTTCTACATGTTGGTGTGATATTTACTTCGAATCAGCATTGGTTTTATGGTTTTTGCTGCTTCTACTCAAGGCAATGTACTTCTTCAGCCAAGCTGGCTAGTCTTATGTTTTAAAATGGTAATCGGTTTTGTTTTGACTTGCTTTTTAGATATCCAAAGCCGGAGTTCGTTTCTCTAGCTAGAATAACTGTTGTTGCTACCTGTGACTAACTGTCCGAATGTTCGTTCCTAACCGTTTTTTATGATGTTATCGGCAAAATGAAAGGGAACAATCTCGGGTATTTAATTTTCTTCAGTATTATGGACAACACTATCCCGCTAACGAGTCAAACTAATACTGATTGCCCAGCAGTAGGTGATACCAGTTTTGTTTTCGAAAGAACTCAGACTTCCGATAACCATAGACGAAGTCACAGATACTACCAATCTATTGAAGAGGGTTCGTTATTAAAAATATGTCATATAGGAGTAATAGAGGGGTTGTACTCATTACGTAGTGCGTTAAAGCAAGCCTTACCCGAACAAGTGGTATCAGCCCCATCAGTGAATACTTTCAAGGAGAAGCTGCACCTTCACTGGAAAGCAATGTGTCAGGATTAATACAGGTTCACTAACCTACTATCCTTATTACTGAAGACTGAAAACTAACATTGAAAAGCCGGAAATCTGCTATCAGTGTGTAGTTTATGTTTGCTGTTTCGGCCATAAAAGGAAGCCGAAGGGTCATGATCAGGGAATAAAAAGGTAATTAACTGTTATTAAGCTCACTTTTTTATAGATCATACTTCACCACTCGCAAATCTGTGTTTTTTTACTGTACGACATCAATATTTTCACCCTTACAATGAAAAATACCTGGAAATTCTCACCTTCATATTCGAATTATTTTTGGACAACTGCCTTCCAGTTTGATTGCTTCGTACGCGCTGGGAGACTGGATTCCTACATTATTCGTGGTTCCAGTATAACTTTCTCACGCAGTAGTTTCAGAGTAGACACTAGTCTTTCTAAATAAGCCTGTTAAGCTAATATTCGTATTTTCTATTCCAGTTAATCGATGAAGACATGTACCACGTGCATCTGCTGTATATTGCCATTTCACTCCAATTTTAACTGTTGTATCTTACTTTAAAAAAATAAAATTGTTATATGCAGCAAATATAGACTTATTTGTTTGGATGGAGATAGGGGGGTTTATGGGATTTTTAGCAGGACTGTAGTAATATTCTCACTAAAGAGCTAAGTGAGTGCGTATCCCGATGTAAGATACCATACAGGGTGCCTTTGAGTTACTCGTGTTCCATTAGTGTCGGTAGAGGCATGAGATTAGACGCAGAGACGCTTAAGATGTGTAACGCGTGTCCATCCATCAGCGGCCGTGACAACTCATGGTGGCTAGAATAAGTTGTGAAAGTACCCGAGTCTGTAGGTTTCCTATGAGAATGACGAATATATGCACCAAATCACCTTGTGAAGAACGCCTCCAATCACTTAACCTCAACCCATTAGAGTAAATACGTCTTAGAGGTGACCTTCTAATGGCTTACAGTATCCTTAACACTTCTGGGCATCCTCTTAAACACCTACTTAAACTTAGTATCAACACTAACCTAAGGGGTAACACCCAGAAACTGGAGACACAACATAGCAGAATGGACTGTAGACACAACTTCTACTCCTTATGAGTTGTCAAATGCTGGAATTCGCTGCTCGCCGAGCTAGACCATGCGACTTCTCAGGGGTCCTTTAAGAGGCAACTAGATATATTCTTAAGGATAAAATCATATTATGATTTACCAATTTCTTTTCCCTCTTTTATTGTTAATATACCTAGGTTCCTACCTGGAGGTTTTGGTAATCGCCTGCTACTAGACACGGAAGCCTGTTGAGCGAAAGCATCTACTCAGTCCACGACCATTTGAACACATGAACTAGGTGATGAGAGGCTCGATTATCACAAGTTTCTTGCAACGATTAAGTAGATAAAACAAAGTAGCATTAGGTTCAAAAATTTATTCGAGAACTTTCATTAGGAATCGAATATCAAACAACGGTTTAAACCAAGTTCCAGTCTAAAAGTTGCATTTATAATGTTAAGCTGCAGTTTTTGTTGTTTTTTCCAAACGAAAGGGTAAAAGAAGTAACTCAAGAAGTACTGGAAGTGGTTGTGAGACTAAAATGAACATCCAGCATCCTTTTTATAATCTGCTGTTAGTTGGGTCTCCCGTAAACAGATCCATAGGGCCATAGTTCTAAGGGCGAAACAGTTCTTAGGATCTATGAAGACTCAGTCCTGTTGCATTCTAAATGAGAAAACAGTAGTGAATTTAGTCAGAAATGTGGAATAGATAAATAACCAAATTACATGTTTTTTAGCAAAGAATTTATGCAGTTGTGATTTACCTTTACTTCATGGATATTGGGTCAGGTCAGCTATTACTTGTGCAAAGCATAACATGAACTTAATACCGTATCTCAATGCTTTTATTATTTTGCTCTCATTTAAGTATTACCATGTATCTGCATCTAGTTTAACAGGGAGACATACAAGCAGAGTTAGTGTTTGATGAACTAAAAGTCCCAATTGCCAAAAAGATTCTTAACATTTGTCCACAGCCAACTGCATTTAATTGAGATACAGAACAGCCATCTTCTAAGACTGTATACTGCTCTTCTGCGGGCAAATAAAAGCTCACACACTTAGCTATCCTGCTGCCGATGTTATTGCTGGGGAAATTGTTTAATGACAGTGATCATGAAATATGGTCAGTGATAGATGTACAATCTAGAAATAAACAATAAACATACTTATCGCTATCTTATAATGTATGACAGCAACAGTACCGAAAGCACTTTTTTCCTATTTTTAGTCAGACTGTTTTGAATCAGTATACTCATCAGAAACAGGCAACTCTACTTACTAGACTGATCTGTTTCGTTACAGACTTCAAGCACTATACCATAATTCTTTCAACTAAACTGAATTATACGACAACCAAAAATACTAAACTAAGCAAGTGTCATAGTTATTATTTCATTTGCACAGGCATATTGCTTAAAGTAGTTAAATGGACATAATTAAGACGATAAAACAAAAACACGAAATGTAGGCCAATTGAACTTACCGAACGGAAGACAATTGTCTTTAAAGAATATATATATTGCTTTCCGACTGAAGACAACAGGCAGTTGTTCATAAAAACATAGTTTATAGTACAATAAACCTTTCTACAGTAAAATCACGCACTGACAGTCTATCTGGAAACAATCAACTATGTGAATAAACTCACTATGACTTGAGATATCATCCCAGCATGCAATGGACGTGCAGTGTAACGCAGTCAAACGTGGCGAATAAAAATATGAAAAAGATCAAAATTAGCTATATAATCTAGTTATTTAAATAAAAATACATTATGAAATGTCAAAATCTGTGGTTACTTGAACGCATAGATGACCGGTACATTAAGTTTACATGGTTGCGTTGCGGATAAGATCACCCCTTTGGAGCGTATCCAACGGCGAGCCACGAAATCAGTTCGACGACTCAAATTTAAACTATATGAAGAGCGCCTTCATTCACTAGAATTTTATCCATTAGATTATAGGCGTCTTAGAGGTAATCTATTAATGGCTTATAGTATTGTAGTTCACAAACGTAGATGATCTATGTCGAAAATGTTTGGAGACCTACTCGAGTTAGACGGGAATGGTGTGACGAACCAGCTAACGTCGAAGTCACACCTCGTGTTCAGCACCTTACGTGGACTACCCCATTGACGTATCAAGGTGCCATAGATGCTTTGAAGACTGTACAACACAGAGGACGTTATTACAGAAATATATTAGTTAAGGTAGATACAAGCGAAAGTAAGACCACTGCAGCATGGGCCAGTCCATGGCATATGATTAACGGATGCGCGTTGGTTGTCCCTGACCTTGAAAGGGAGCGATGATCTGTTCGACTTTCAGTGATCCAACTGCCGTATGATTTGGCTAGGGCTCAGTGACATTTCACTGGCCCTACAGTATACTCAACACTTCTGGACATCCTCTCAAACACCTACTTGGGCTTAGTTCCAACACCAACCTAAGAAGTAACACCCAAAAACTGGAGACGCAATATAGCAGAACGGACTGTAGACACAATTTCTACTCCTTAAGAGTTGTCAAATGCTCGAATTCGCCGCCGGCCGAGCTAGTCCAAGCGACTTCCAAGGAGTCCTTTCAGAGGCAACTTGATCTATTCTTAAGGTTTAAGGATAGCATCATATTATGATTAACCAATATCTTTTTCCTCTTATATCGTTATTATACCTAGGTTCCTGCCTGGAGTTGTTCGTGAACCTCTGCTACTAGATACGGAAGCCTGTTAAGCGAAAGCCTCTATTCCGTCCACAACCATTTGAATCAATGAACATCACAAGACATTGAACTATATAGAAATAACAAGAAACGCGAAAAAAGGAATCAATTGGCTTATATAAGCTTGTTGCAGGGATTTAGAATAGTAGATCTGCACATGTTCAAAGAACTGATCTGAAGTTGGTTCATGACATTGGCTGCGTATCCAACACAGCGCCGAATACAAACTCTGACCTTGTCATGTTTGGATTCTCAGCTGCTGTAAGTGCTAAATGCTGAGTGGTAGTACAAGCCGACTACCTATATTAAAAAGGTTTCTTGATTGTGTGAATAGGTTTTCAGGTATATCTGTTGTCACGTCATTAAAAGTTTAGAACAGTTTAGCTTGACCAATATTTCCATGCACCGTCTCAAAATAATTTGAGACGCAATATATATTGCTTTACGCTTCCAGAAACCATACATCTTCAGTTATCGGAACCAAGTTATTAACTCGACTTTCAATATGCATCTTTTCACGCAGAGTTCGAAAAATGGGATAAGCGTTTTAACTCATTATCAGATCACACTCATTCCCATCTTTTAGGTGGGTTCATAGTAGGTTGTTTCAAGAAAATCGGACTATTCCATTCTCTTATATCCATAAGCTTTCTCAGCACATCTGAAAATAAGTGTTTTATTGCACTGACTTATTCTGTCCGGTCGAATTTTACTCCGGTTTACATCCGCCCCAATGAGTTCGATGCTTCACTTAGTTCAATTAGTCATTAATATATTTTGGTTTCGAAAAACCCTTCGTATACTTGCACTTGCAATTAGTAACAAATAGGAGCGTCTGACGTCTTCCAGTCAAACATGTGTATCTAACTAGTTTTATTAAATAGGGTGGCGAAATTAACTCCTATAACTACCATTTCTCGACGGCTATTGTTAATCGCAATTTGGTAAGCACAATCAGATAGTATGTAAATGCGTGTCCATACAGTAAGTTACTGACTAATTGGTTGGTTCGATTTGTGAAAATTTAAATATTAAGCCTGATTTTAGGCGAATCATTTAAAAGGTATTCATGTATCATTTTATCTATCATCTTATTCTTAATTGCGTCGTCCAATCCACGGTTTCCCGATAGCAAGTACCAAGTCAGTTAAATATTTCCTAGACACCACAAAAATCTGACTATGGGTTAGTCTTATATGTCATGTAAATCTGTCAGTCGAAAACAGAAAAGGTAGGAAATTGTTATATTAGTCAGTAGTCTAGATACGTTTATATTGCCCTCAATTGTATTCTCATTCAATGAACCCTCACAATATCTGAGGTCGCGTGGGCTGTATCCTGAATACTAACGTAAGTCTAGCTGCATGACTTGACATCGAAGCGAAACTTTCGCGAATACCTAACCATCTTGGCATTGATTGGGGTTTCTGCAACATAAAATTTCTTTTTTCATACAGCTCTTCCGCGCCTAAATGAAAATTTGAAGAATTATGTTTATGATTTTGTCCACCGAAATGTTTTTTCAAGTACCTGTTCTTTTGAGCATTTATGTTTGATAAAGTTCTAGTTTGTTAAATAAAACGCAGTTAATAAATTTTTTTCGGCCCAGAGGTTTATTGAATGAGACTGAAGCCGACACTGGAGACATATTTTACTTCACCCACTAGTATTTAAGTAACTTCCGTATATCAATTGCAGCCCCTAACACTGCACTTGGAATCCATTAACATAAGGATGAAATGCGATTCCGTCAGCTGAGCTTTATAGTTATGGTCATTCCAAAAAGTGGTCCTCTTTAAGCAAATTACTTTGTTAAAAGTCTTCTAATTAAATTTATTTAGTAGTGCGAGAAATTTTAGGTCTGGTCTCTGATGGGACTGTCGACTACTGATCATTTTCATTTGTCTTCCTTAGAAACTACCCGAACGTTTTATCACTCATCATATCAAACATCTTTCTCTGCTTCTTTTAGATAGTGAATCTGCATATCACTATAAGTTGAGACACTAAAATTTCGATTGCTTTTCATGCCATGGTCAAGTTACTAAGTCTTGAGTAACTTTGGCTAAATTTCATACTTCCTATGTATTAAGGACATTTGAACTATTGATTTTTTCCTCAACATGCTGGGAATATTTTAGAATTGTTTTAGCAGTTGTCTGATTGCAAAGTAAAAGTTTATTTCGGATTGTCTTATCTTCAATAATGGCTTTTAATGTGGGTGTCATATTTATTCCTCCTATACAGGACTGATCACTTATGAAATCACCTCCAGAGTTCACAATCACAGTCAACATAACTACATCTGAAGACATTTATCGTGTCTGTGTTAGCATTGTATTGGCTGTATGACATGTACTTGTTTTCAAATAATTAAAAACGTCTTTTAGTGGTCACTGTTTAGAATGTCATTCAAATGAGCTGAACTTGGGTCAAAATTCCTGAATCATATCACTTTAAATATCTTCTAGTTCATACACTTGATCAGTAAGGACTCAACTTATTATATTGTGTTAGCGACACTGCCAGTTTCGGACAGAAAAACACCGAGCACGAGATAATAGATTTTTAAAAGTGTAATATACTTAGTAACATAAAGTGCATTTTATGATGAACGATGCTGTGTAACTAATAAATCCAATGCTAGTACTTTTGGTCACAAGTGTGCGAAATGTCTCGAAGATATATTTAGGAAATGTATTTGGCTATTTTATTTTTTCCATCCATGACTTGCTACGGTTCCTCTTGGCTTGTCAGTTTCCTGTGATAATGTTATAGCATTACTACAATTTCATTCAAATAACTCCTCTACTGTCTTGTAAAGGAATTAGTATGTGCCCAGAAAACCAAAGCCGTTTTGTTTATTTTCGCTTGTAAGCAAGTGTGGGTGATCCCGATCAACATTGTTACAATTCTGCACTTCTGTATTCTTGATTTGGTTATCATTGAAATTCTTCATTCCCCGTTTTTCTCTCCTCAAACGTCACTTGTGTCAGTTGCTGATCTGCCTAATCTGAGTAGATTCTACTTCCTATTAAAAGATTCGTTTGGTCATTCGCAAATTCGAAATAATCAAGTAATTCCCGAATCATGACAACAAGTTTTAACATACAAAGAGTCAGTCTTGTCACAAGCTATTAGACTTTTCTGTAAGACTGAAGAATTCTCACTCAGTCACCAATGATTATAATATTCAATAGAAAATTTTAATCTAACACAGACCCTCAGTATTTGAATACTTCAACAAACTTTAACATCAAGTCAAAATGTACGCTTAGCTACCTTTAACACGAAACTAACAGTGGTAAAAGTAAAACTTTCTACCATTCATCTTTGTTGAATGTAGTTATTTTGTGGGTTAGTGACTTCTATAAACCACGTATGACTTATAAAGATCGCATTCGGAATGTAATTACGGCATTTGGCAACAATGAATAAAGTTATGATGATCAATTGCCACATTAAGATACAAGTCATTTACATGATGTTTTACATCTGACATGCATTTTGAGACAGATCCAGAACAAATAATAATATTCCTATGTTTGCATAACTCCTTTATCAAGCTACGTTACTTTATGAACAGATTTAGGGTTGGCATAATGTCTATTTTCAAGTTTTGATAAAGCGAAATTCATTTCGCCACATTATTTTATTGTATTCAGTTTGCTGTTTAGTTATTTGTTGGTTGCTCCTGTCATAAAACTCTTCAATATTGAGATGAGTAAGATGCAGTTTCGATTTTGTTTCTTCATTTCCGTATTACTTGTCGTCTACTTCAACGGGTAATGTTATCAGGTGTAGGAATAAGTTTGGAGGAATCTGTGGGGTAACCAAAATGTGCTACTAGTCTACGAAGTTATTGATCCCGGAGTCATGTCGGTATGTACGGACAACGTGGTTGAGGTTCACGCAGTAACCTTAGTCGGTAGTTGGAGAGGTTGGTTAACCTGACTCAAAATCAACCACAGTGACATACATGGATCTATTTGATGTTTCTCTAAATCTTGACTTTCAACATTCCTTGTCTTTTCGAACTATATTCCCTTTATTTAGTCTTTCTTATTATCACCACTACTATATTATATTCAATTCATTTACTACTTATATTGTTACCTATATATGCTCTTTCTAATGTATTTATTTATTTTAATGCATGAACATTGGTACTATCAGGCACCAAATATATATGCGCCACACTTCGTCATTCGATTTATGTGAGGGCTAGGTTACTGCCCATACGCCCAGACCGAAACAGATGGTTTTCTTAGGGGACCAATTTCCGAGCCTTCGACCTAAAGGTCTGATCCATAAGGCATTGGAGTAACATCAGGAGATGCAATCTCATGGATCCTGGTGACCAACAATTGGTTCATACGTCATTCGTTTCATCAGGATCCTAGAGCCCATGTGCACCATTAGTTTGAAATAGGGGTTTTTGAACTCCCCCAGGTGAACCCTCCGTGTCCAACAACCCGGTTAAGGCGCCAGACATTCGCTTATCGTCCTCCCAATTTCGTAAACAACAGTAATGCTGCAAGAAGACAGTGAGTAGGACTTTCTTGTCAATGGTTGTATACGCGTGATCATGTGAGGGCGTTTCGTGAAGGAAAGCGATATCTCCCCACCAGGATATTTGAGGGCTTTGTTAATGTAGTTTGGCGACTTGGATTGACGCGCATTTGTTCCATGCTCTATGTTGATTATAATGGACTAACTGACTACCTGTCAAAGTAATCTTTTGTACAGAGCTACATTCCGGTAGGGACTTCTTTAGCACTTAACATTAGACGAATCTACCTTTAGAATGCATCATCCCCATCGCTTTGGATAATCTTGTCTTAAAAATCAAACTCATAATCATTTTAATGCTTCTTAATAAACTTGACATTTTCATATTTAGTGTTGAAATGTCCCAGAAGAAGTTTTGTGTCCAATAAGAAAATTGCTGACATGATTGGGAAAATGTGTTCTTCTCTAATTTCACGTTTAATATCTACCTTCATATTAAAACTGTAAATACACATAAGTGTTAATTGCATGTTACTGACACTTCTGAATTACTTTTTGTGTTTGACAAAATAAACATTTAAAAAAATCTCTTCACAGGATTGTTGTTATGTAGGTTTATGATGAAAGAGTTAAATAAGCTAATTTTTCAACATCTTCAAATAAATGTGTTTGTAAATATAAAGTGCTTAAAACATGTGCTATGCATGTTCAATCATTTTTCTTCACTATATGGTAGCTGGATTTGAAAGTAAGTTTGGAAGTGTTTTCTAAGAGGTGAAGGTAAAACAAGGTATTTAAAAAACCAATAGTATTTGTCAAATTATTATTAATAGCATAACTAGATTCAGGTTAGAATCCATCGTCTCATACTGTCGCTTTTGTCAATGGTACTTCAGATAAGCTCTGTTTGGGGAGTTTGTTTATGCTACAGAAGCCCTGTACTCACGGAATTACATCCCTCGATCATTTTTGTTATATTTCTTTTACCAATTTGATGATTTTTTTTTACCGCGAAATTTAGTACCTAAACACATTCTTCCCGACCATGGGCCGCAAATATCCTTTGGAAACGCCTCGTAGTGCCATGCGTGGCCAGTGTAATGGATCTAGTGTCTTGGTACAACGCACACATAAATCACCTTCCTTAGAGTGCAGTGCAGATTGGTTTAAACAAGAAATCAAATGTCAAATGGAACGAGGTGGTTTATTTGAGGATCCATTTATGCCTGCTACCGACTCAACTATCAAATCTGGATCGAGTAAACAAAGTTACAGATGGCTAAGACCTGTTGTAAGTCGTCTTTATATTGATTTTATTATTCATTAACTATCTGTTTTCTATTAACTCTTGTCCTTCATATATTACGAAGTAACCTGATCGATGTTAGTATTTTTAATAAACTTATAGTGAATATCGATTAGACGGCTAATGAGATAGATCGAACAAAGTGTTATCTCCATAAATTCCAATTCTGTGGTTCGTGAATATGTGTTCGGACGTAACAACGTTAATTCTACTGGTGTTGTCACCTTGAAACACGAACTTCAGTCCCTTGAAATTGTGCTACGAATGTCATTCCAGCGACTTTCATATCATTCACACACTACTGTTGCTGGGATGTAGTGGAAAAAGTAGAGAGGTGGTCTGTTAATGACATGATACTGTGGTATAAAAGAAAGTTGTATAGGACTGGTTTCTGTCGGTCCATCACGACTCTCTGGTTGGGATTTTACTTTGTTGCTTGAGATGTTACCAGATATACATCAGGACAGGAAACAATGAAAATCCTGCTGTAGTCTTCTTATTACTTACTGTACTTAAGCCTTTTACCCTTCTGGACGCACAGGCCACTGACCAGATATCTCCAAGAACAACTGTCTTGGTTGCTCCCGTTCCCAGTTGGCGCTTATCATAAATTTCTTTTGCATTCTTCGTAAAAAGTCGGAAAGAACTCACTTAACTAAGAAGTTTGTGGTCGTAGTTTTAACAGAACTGTCAATTCCACCTTATGTTACTTTCGTTCATTTGGAACTACCGCACAAAGTTTTATAAATTGGACAATTAGTGCACAATATTTCTAAAATTCATATTAATAGAAAGAGATTTCATAAAGTATTATGTAACTTTATAGTGTGTATCCGAGTTGCATGTGCTTAAATGTTGACTGTAACATTTCTATTTAGCTTGTATATTCCAATAAAGTTCATTCAAAACCACGATATGATAAACTTAGAAGGTTACAGATGAATAAAGATGGATAGTGGTTTGCAGTGGAATCCAGAATGTGAATTTCGTTTTATTTGAGACTCGTCAGCTAGATGTACCTGGATTCCAGAGTTGATGTTCACTCTGAGATTCGAACCCAGTACCATTCGCTTCAAAAGCCATCGAGTTATCCACTTAGCTACTGATTCGCGATAGCCACCTTATTTTTCAATGGGGTGAGGTTTAAATTCATTTTGTATTGTTTATTTGAGTCTTTCCATTGATGTTCAGGACTCCCAATGAGAGAGTAATCATTTACAGAAATCAAAGAAAAACTCTAATTTTCATTTATCCTAGTTATTTTTATGGGTTCTTTTAATATTCTTAAGTTGTTTCTTCTTAATATCAAAATTATGGGTAGGAAAATTTCTTTTACGTATTAATAATACATGTGTCTTTTTTTTTAAACAAAAAAAATTATTGTTCATATGTGTTACATGTGCATGAATTATGCAATAGACGAACTTTGATTATTCACTATTCAGGAACTTAGCAGGTGCCCACGTTTTGTTGCAGATGGAGTTAGTCGCTTCGATATCAAACAAGGTGAACTTGGTAAGTTTACATTAATATAAATATGGTCGATTTTTTTTATAAATCAATACCTTATTAATATATGCTTCTGAATAATTTCTAAAGAAATATTACTAGATTCTACCAGTATAGAAACGTTAAAATTGACAATCAAATGGTTACCAATCAATTTTCGGTGATAAGATTAAATACTGTGATACTGTGGATTAATCAGATTCTGGTCAAGATGAACCTTCCTTTTCCAAGAAACATGACACACCTTTGGTTTAACATGTGGTTTAAGCGAAAAAAAGTGATTTTGAAAATCTAATTACTTACGCCTGTTACTCCTCGTGGAGGAGCATAGACCGCTCACCAGCATTCTCCATCCAAAACTGTCCTGGGCAATCCTTTCCAGCACCTTCCAGTTGTAATTCATCTTTTTAATATCTGCTTCTATTATCCGACGTAATATGTTCTTTGGCCTCCCTCTTTTCCGCTTCCCTTCAGGATTCCAAGTTAGGGTTTGCCTCGTGATGCAGTTTGACGATTTGCGTAATGTATGTCCTATCCATTTTCATCGTCTTTTCCTAATTTCTTCTTCAGCTGAAAGCTGGTTTGTTCTCTCCCAGAGAAGGCTGTTGCTGATGGCATCCGGCCAATGGATATTGAATATCCTGCGTAGACAACTATTTATAAATACTTGTACATGTTTGATGATGGTTTTAGTAGTTCTCCAAGTTTCAGCTCCGTACAGTAGAACTGCCTTGACGTTCGTACTGAAGATTCTGACTTTGATATTGGTTGAACGTTGTTTTGAGTTCCATATGTTTTTCAATTGTAGGAATGTGGCCCTTGCTTTGGAGCCAGCCTATTCAGGAGTTCCTCGAAGTATTCTATCCTCCTGTTCTGCTGTTGTTTATTTTCAGTGATTGACTTGCCTTCTTTGTCTTTGATCGGTCTCTCTGCTTTACTGTATTTCCCTGCTAGTTTCTTCGTTGTATCTTCAAGCTGTTTCATATTTCCTCCTGCAGCTTTTTCCGCCGTGGTTGCTAGTTCATCCACGTACTTCTTCTTGTCGGATCTAATGCTCTTCTTCACTTGCTTGTTTGCTTCTATGTATTCAGTATGTGCTTGAACTTTCTCTGCTCGTGTTCGGCTGTTGTTAATTGCTGTCTTCTCGTTCTTCCTTTCTTTGATCTTGTCCAGTGTTTCTATAGAGATCCATTCCTTATGATGATGCTTCTTTAGACCTAGAACCTCTGACACGTTGAAGTTAATGCTTCTTTGATACTTTTCAAGTCGTCCTCCATAGTAGTTTCTTCTTCCTTCAGTAGATTATGTAAGGTTTGGAACTTGTTGTTGAGAGCTATCTTGAATTCGTTGAGTTTGTCAGTATCTCGAAGGAAGGCTGTATTGAACCTTTGTAATGCTGTTTGTCCAGTTGTCCAGTTCTTCTTTAGCTTCAGTTTTAAATTGACCACAACTAGGTGGTGATCTGAAGCTATATCAGCTCCTCTCCTGGTTCTCACATCTTCCATTGTCTATCGTAATTTGTTATTGATGCAAATATGATCTATTTGGTTCTCTGTGGTGTGTTCCGGTGAGATCCATGTAGCTTTGTGTATACGTTTGTGTGGAAATATTGTGCCTCCTATGACCAATTTGTTGAATGCACATAGATTTGCAAATCTTTCTCCATTTTCGTTTCTTTCTCCCAGTCCATGTCGTCCCATAATATCTTCATATCCAGTGTTGTCTATTCCGACTTTGGCATTTAGATCTCCCATCAGAATAGTTAGGTCCTTTCTTGGGCATTTCTCAATGACTGACTGCAGCCGCTCGTAGAACTGATCTTTAATGTCGTCGTTGCTATCATTTGTCGGTGCATAACATTGGATAATATTCATTAAGATCCCCTCCTTCTTTGTTTTGAATGATGCTTTGATGATTCTGGATCCGTGAGATTCCCATCGTACAAGTGCATTTCGTGCTACTTTGGACAGCATTAGAGCAACTTCCTGAGTGTGTGGAGTATTTTCCTCTTCGTGACCGGAGTATAGCAGCATCTCTCGCGTATTTAGCCTTTGTTGTTCAGCTTGGGTCCAATGGGTTTCTCTGATTCCCAGTACTGCCTAGTTGTATCTCCGCATTTCCGTTGCTATTTGACTGGCCTTCTCGGTCTCCCACATTGTTCGGACGTTCCATGTACCTATAAAAATTGTTGCTCTGGTTGTTAGAAGGAGCATCGGCCTCGTGGCTTCCGAAGGAACTTGGCTTTCACCATGAAGCGTCATAATTCTTCTAGATGAAGACCTTCTAACTCCCAGGGCAGAGATAAAATGGTTTGAATTATTTTTTCTGGTAAGCGTTTTTTTAGCGAGTTAGTTTTCTACGGCACGGGGTCGCTAACCCCATGCCCAGATTGGTGAAATTCCGATTGTTTTACACCCACTAAAATTAACATTGTAGAAGTGGTTCACTAGACAAATTGGTAACTTAATAGTTAGTTAAAGAACGCAAAATATAACCTCACTATTATGAATAAGATAATAGTTTTGAAAACCCTAAACAAATTGAGTTAAATAGTTCCAATATTACCCTGAAGAAGCTCTAACCAATGTTTCCTTATGTCGTTAACATTCCTGTTGTACGAAACTGTTCAATCAAACTTCGACTGTGTTCAATGTTCTTCTTAAGGTAAACTGTTTTGTTGTCACTTCGTCATTAAACCATCACCCCTAAATTTCTCTGAAAAAAATTAGTTTTATTTAATTGCCAGTCGTTTAACCTTAATTTTGTTTCAGTCATATGTTTTACCAGTTAGTTTGGTAATTACTCAATTGTATCCGATAGTTTATGGCGAAAACAATCAAACCAAGAGATTCACCGTTACCTACTGGTTCGTTCAGATTCAAATGACAGAGCATTAATATTAGTGCGATCGTCAGTAATAATAATAGTGTTCATCATGTGGTATCATTGTGTATTATTGTTTTGTTTTTGTAGGAAACTGTTGGGTTATAGCTGCTTTGGCCTCATTATCAATGTATCCAGAATTATTTAATCAAGTAAATAATAATTTACTTGAACTCAATTCTTTTTTATTGTGTGGGTTATCTTGTTTTTTAAATTTTATTTAACCTATTAATAGTCAAGATCCTCAAGTACAACACGGAGAGCACCAACCCAATCACACTTGATGGAGAAGCTCTGAAAGATATAGAATCATTCAGGTACCTGGACAGCATCATCAATGAATAAGGAGGATCCGATGTAGACGTAAAGGCGAGGATTGGCAAAGCAAGGGTCACATTCCTACAACAGAAGAACATATGGAACTCAAAACAACTGTTAACCAATATTAAAGTGAGGATTTTCAATACGAACGTCAAGACAGTCCTAATGTATGGAGCTGAAACTTCGAGAACTACTACAGCCATCATCAAAAAGGTACAAGTATTTATAAACAGTGGTCTACGTAAGATACTCAATATCCGTTGGTCGGATACCATCAGCAACAACCTACTGTGGGAGAGGACAAACCAGGTTCCAGCTGACGAGGAAATTACGAAAAGACGTTGGAAGTGGATAGGACATACATTACGGAAATCACCAAGCTGTATCACCAGGCAAGCGTTAACTTGAAATCCTGATGGAAAGTGGAAAAAAGAAGGCCGAAGAACACACTACGTGGGAAATCGGAAACATATATGAAAAGGATCAATAGCAACTGAAAAGAACTGGAATAGATTGCCCAGTACAGGGTTGGACGGAAAATGCTGGTGAGCGGCCTATGCTCCTCCACGAGGGTTAACAAGCGTAAGTGAGTAAGTAAATAATAATAGTCAAAGATACACTCAGTGAAACAGATTATGATTTGCTTAACCACGGTTAATTTACCCAGAGAGAATAATTTTAATACTATACTGTATAATGTTATACAGTGGAGTTCAATCATTTGTTTTTGGCTTGTACACAAGTATCAAATGGACTGGTGGGAAACATATGGAATAGAGACATATTCAGTCATAGAGTAATACTTAGGGTTTGGTATTATAATATTGAAAGTTTAAGAGTTTTACTGTCCATGACGGTCACGATTCAAAGAACTATAATTATTGTTGGTTATTGTATTAGATCTTCCTAAAGCTATTTATGTAAATATTGAAACTATTTCAAAACGTTATGTACATTTCACACTAATACACCGAGACATGCTTTATGCCTAGAAGTTAATTTCTAGATTTAAGTAACTTCAATGTTTCATTTCCAGAGCAAGATGATCATAACAATTGTGATAGCATATATTCCTCTATTGAATAATTCCAGTCAAGTAGAAAACACAAAATCCCAAAATCGTTCTATATTTAAAATAATATCATTATCGTAATTATATAATTTCAAGAGCCAATCAAATATGATGTTCAATCTTTCTTGATTTTTTGCAATACATATATCTCAAAATTTCCAAAATGCTTTAACTATATTCATTTCAATAATCAAATTATGCAAGTCTTTTGTTTTGATTATTTTAAAGGTTCGATCAAATACAGTTACATTGAAAGTGATCAGTTTTATTAAATAGAATCATCTAAGTTTTAATTATCCAATTGATTTGACAAAAAAAATTGAAATAGCTAGAATGGTCGAATCAACAATTTATTGATAGGATCAATTGTTACCATATAAATTTTAAAAGATATAAACACTGATCAGTTGACTTTTTTTTCTAAATATATTTTAAAATCAGAAGGGAGTTTTCTAGAAATTTTAGTAATTTCATAGTTGAATTCATGCGTCAATGAAAGCTAGATCATCATGGAAAACCTGGAAGTACTGGACGGCCGTTTCGTCGTAGTATGGGACTCTTCAGTAGTGCGCATCCACGATCCTGCTCGTGAAAGTTCTGTTGTGAGATAATAACTCATTGGAGAAAATGATGGATGGTGGCGCAAATTCGTAGATTGGTTGAAGCTAGACATTAACACCGTTGAATGCCAGCTCAGTGGTCTAGTGGTTAGGCGTTCTCGCGTGAAATCGATAGGTCCCGGGTTCGAATCCCACGGGCAGGATCGTGGACGCGCACTACTAAGGAGTCCCATACTAGAACGAAACGGCCGTCCAGTGCTTACAGGTTTTCCATGGTGGTCTGGCTTCAATTGACTCATGATCTCAACCATTGAAAAATGTTCTTGATGATAATATAACAAAGGTACCAATAAATGCTCTAAACACACATAAAGGAAAATAAGAATATTGTCAAGAATGAGAAATGAAAAAGTCATTCAATGAAAATAAAAAAACAGACATTTTGTAAACATTACAGCATACAGTTTCATTAGGAATAAAATTAACACTAATTCCATTCATTTGTAACGTCCATTTTACTATTTTTGTAAAATGGCAATAGAAACCGGATCATTATCGGGTCTTATTCTGAACCACATCTGATAAAACTGCATCACACTAGATTGTACCAGCTTTAAGATTCCATCCAATTAGTTGTGACAATAAAACCAATCATAATCCAACTCAATTATCGTATAGTCGACTACTCCACATAAGAAGCTAATCTTATGTCCTTTTTCCATTCAGTCTCAACATGAATATTGGATGTTAGACAGTTATTCACCACAAGTAATAGAATATGGTTACTCACTATTCTGAATTGATTAAAGTTAAACAGTTACACCATTAGATACCAGTTCAGTGACCCCAAATTTACTCGTTTGCTCTGGAAATCAGTCTTGGATTCGATCCCTTGTGGTGGGGTCGGGGTCGGACACTGCTGAGCAATCCCATATCAGCTTTTGATTTGAAAATCCTTCAACCTCTACAAATCTCACTATACCAAAAATAATCCATAGTTTGGAAATCGCTATATGGCATAAGTAAAATATATCAAAAGTACTAAAACTTATGAATTAAGATAATAAATCATCAATTCCACACACGTAGCCAGACTTCATTATTCCTTAAATGTCCTCACTGAATCTAAGTAATCCTCTGAAAACAACAATAATGAAATAATCAATGGATATTGTCAACTCAAACAGTACACATTTTGAGAGTTGTGACGTAGGAATACTCAAAAATATACACATGGTAACACCGTTTTTTATTCAGACAAAGCGATAGTTAGATAAATAATAAGAAGATGACGCTATTTGATTGTTTTCCTAATTTCTGAGTTGTTTTAATCAATTATTGAGTTATTTGTTTATAAACTGTGGTTGTGATGTACAGATTTATACATCTGACTTAAAGTCTGTCAGACATAAGCACTTCAGGATTTCGTACACGTACCTCGATTTGTGAAATTAATTCATATATTCAATACCACACAGATTTTTACATTACATTAAATTGAATTATTCTTTTAAAACAATAAAAATGTTTATTTTTCCTCTCCAAAACAAATAAAACAATGCACTTGAAGGTTGTCCCACCTGATCAATCATTTGAAAAATCATCAAAATATCCATATGTTGGAATGTTTTGGTTTCGATTCTGGCAATTCGGTGATTGGTACGATGTTGTTGTAGATGATCGTTTACCAACTCGTAATGGACATTTAGTATTTATGCATTCCGCAGATCCTAATGAATTTTGGTCAGCCTTATTAGAGAAAGCCTATGCTAAGTCAGTCATTATAATAATGACATTACTATTATATTGATTGTTTTTTATAATGATTAGTCCGGAAAGGTTTTTGCAGATTTCATTTTTTATTTTGTTTGAATGGTATTCAGTGAAAAGATGTAAACAAAGGGTATCAAAAGACAGTAGTGTATGCCCTCCTACTTTTCTGAGTCCTTCACAATTCAGTTCAATCGATTAACTTACAAGTGACTATCTACTTGAGCTCAGTACAAAAAGCACATGTATGAAATTGATGTTATATTTATACCTATAAAACTATGAAGTTTTAAGCTACCATATAACTGGAGGCTGAATTGATTTGGCACTTCACACAATAAATAGGTTCAAATAGGATTATCACGTTTTAGGCTTCGTATACATGTTTCATAGACTGCATAAACCCAGTCATTCCACTGGGTTCTGAAATCTTGATAAATGACATTTGTATCCCATTTAAATATGTGGTTCGAATAGTATGTAGTCCCTCGTATAGTTAGATTTGTAGACCAGACATAAAACTTTGTAGTCTCGAATCGTCAGCACTAGTTGCAAATGTGATGTAAAAAATAGAAGTTACTAACAGGAACAGAGATAGCAAAATGGGTAACAAATCGGTTTGTAAGGTAGTGAGTTTTTATCGATTTAGGTGGTTAGAACATGCACTGTTTGCCTAACCACCGCTTACCTCAATGAACAATGCTCACCAGTTCACAAGTAAGTCGAAAGAAAGCTGGGGACAGCCGAATCAAAATTTGACATCATCCCATAAAGTCATTTACTCTTGATCTGAACCGTGTAGGTAGACTTAAATTACCTGGTCAAGGTCTGCTTGATAACTATTGTCAATGATGGGGTGATATAGCTAAGAATCTTACTCAGTGGCGCAGTTACACTAACTCTTTATCTTCCCCTCAATCTGAACTTCCAGTTTCCTTTCATCCATACCTTCCCACATTCCCAATGATTAGTCTTTCTTCTCATTACTGCTGCTACTTTATTTCGATTGCTTGTTGTTTTCATCTTGCCGTGTTAATGTGGTATGGCAACTTGGGTGAAATAAATTTGTACCAGGCTCTATGTTGATGTTATCTATCTGACGAGGAAGAGATTCAAATAAGAAAACTCCATTTCACCTGTTATTAAATCTTTTGAATTTGAGTTGTTACTAACTACCTTTTTCGATTGGCAAACTGTTTACAGATAAGTCTTCCAATTCTACTGACTATGATATGGTAGATTTTACATTAATAAAGGGTTCATATGATTTTATACTTATTCCTTAATTTTCTGATATGATACTGAGTTTTCGTTGTTTTTTATCTTGTTAAGACTTGTGTCGTCTTATGATGCACTTCGTGGTGGGTGTACAGCAGAAGCAATGGAAGATTTCACTGGTGGTCTTACAGAACTTGTTGATTTAGGTGCGAAAGCTCCTGCTAATATATTCGGCATTATGGAACATGCATTGAATCGTGCCTCTTTAATGGCTTGTAGTATTGATGCTGATCCACATGAGATTGAAGCGAATGGTCCGTTAGGATTAATTCTTGGTCATGCCTATTCTGTGACCGATATACGACAGGTAAATTTCTTTTGTAATAAATGTGCAATTGATATCCCTCAATATATCTACATCCTTATTGATGCTTATGAATTTATGTACATAAAAAAGTTTAAGTCACTAAAGGATCTTGAATTCACTACCGATTCATATTCATACCGGCGCATCGCAGTCATAATTTCCACAAACTTCTCAAGCTTCACGTTCAGAATACTCACTTGTATATTCCGAACATTCAGACGTGTTTACAACACGTCTGGCTATTCAGTCCGCGTATATCACTCATTTAATAACTTCATGAGAACTGGTAACGTTTTTGCCTCAAGCACAAGAAATTTGGCTGCTTATATCGCTGCACATCAATTTATGTGGGAAATGTTCAGCCTGAGTTGAAGAAAGAAAGTATAATTAGTAATTTATTCTATCTTGGTAATTAGGAAGTGATGGTGTGTTCTGCAATATATAGACGAAAGAAAGAGTTACAAAAAACATTGACAATTAAATATGTGTTACTGTTTAATTTGCTGTTTTGCTAAATGAAACTATGATTCATATTGAAGAGTTATAAAATCTTTAAGAAACATTTGGTAATAAGTAAACATAATCTTCTGGTTTGTGTATTTTGATCTATCAGACATCTAATAATTTTTAAATGTTTTTATCATTAAGTTCCAGTTTTTTATAGTTTCATTTGTATTCATTTATTGCGTAAACTCCAACTTGTATGGTTGGACCTATTAATTGATAACATTAAACGTACCTCTTTAATGACTGACATAATTTGAATAGACTTTGTATGGTTAAAGTTGTACGCTGCTATTTTGAACGGACAATCATCAATGTTGGATTAATACTTTAGGGACTGTACACTTCCTAACGTTTGAATTATTTATACATATTTAGTTTATCGAATAATGATTATGGTAATAAAACATCTGACCAGTTTCTTCATAGAGTTTTAGACATATCAACTGTGTGCGTGTTGTCCCAACCGTTGCTGCTACCTTGACGTGGTAGTCAGACTGCCTATCGCGATGAACCAATCAGGCTATAATGGCTGGAACAATCGTTCCCCAAGGTCCTACAATGTCGGACAGATATGTTGAAGAGCGGTAACACTAAAAGCAACAAACCCAAGGTTCGAGGGTAAAGTCGTACTGTTGACTGTACAGAGGTGTGACGGCAGTAAGGCGTTTCCCTTAGACAGCCAGCGTAACAACAATGTTGCCTCCCTACAGGAAAGAGTGGGGTTACGAAGGGTCGACCCTAGGAATGCACCCCTCGCCTTATCCCACAAGTATCCGTCTCCGGAGGTAAGGTTTGGACAATTACGGAGCTAACACACAAATCACCAACAAGAAGGTCGTGTGTGATGGGTCTCAAGCAGTTATCCCTTGGAGACTGCGGACACGCCCCCAGGTCACTAAGACCAGGTCCAACTCAATTCCCTTCCCAGTTACTTCTAGGAAGACCCTTCCACGGTGTAGGCAACCGGGAACTGATAACCTCACTCATACATGTAACAGTACTCAAGACCACTGTATTGTCTGTGTGTATTGTATTCTTTATTATCTATAACTTGTTAACCAATGAAATTGAAAAAAAGAATATATTGAGTTACAATTTGTATCCCGAGACAGAAATTAGAGCAATTGTATACAAGCTTAAATCCAAGCGTTGTATGTAATATAACCAATACTGAAAAATCCAAATATATGGACAACGTCATAATTTCATCATTTTTGTCAAAGTCTAAGTCCTTGGATTACTTCAAAAAGAACTAATCGAATTACATAAATCATTTTCTTACCGTGTAATCTCTAAAGCTAAATCCTTAAGGTTTGTTCCTTCCTATATCATTGTGTGTGTGTGTACGTTAGGCTACATGCGAAATGAATGAAGGTAACTGACTTCAATTTTCCTACTACATCTCTTCTATTTTACCGTAGAAAACCTATTTCATTATTACTATAAATGGATGAATATTTTGAAACTCGGCCTACTCTTACGGTGTATATTCTTATGTACTCCGTGTATATTTCAGTCTTATTTTTTGCTAAAGCTGAGCTTAAAGTGCTTGTTACCTATCAAAATTCAGTCATGTACTGTTTTCATTTTGTTTCTTAAAGCTAGACTGATTTTCCCTTGAACTACATAGGTGGGTGGTAATGCATACGCACATTTATGTACGCTTGCATGCTTACACATAGAAATATATATGTGTTTGTTTATGAGTGTTTATTACCAGATCTAAAAGATAGTTTCATTTAGTTGTATCGAAATATGTATTGTAATAATTAACCTTTTATTGCGCACACTATTCGACAATTGCCGTACATTGAAAAATTAATTACCTGACCAATTCAAAGTTTTGTTGTGAACATGTTGGTTAGATATGTTATGTGAAGTATTTGAAAATGTGAACAAATGAGATAATACATTGTATATAACTAAATGACTTCACATCAGATATATAATCTTGACTTTCATATTAATAAAGCTAAGTCATTAATCGAATTGGGGAATTAGCTGTTTGAACATAAGATTTCCAAACATTTCGTCTTGGTTTCGAACCCCGTCTAATTTACTTAGGTTAAGGCTGCCGGACAGGTGTCATCATATGCATATAAAATATATCTCAAAACCAGTTTTATGTACAGTGTTGTACTTTTTCCTCTATATACACTTTCATTTGTATTTATATTCATTCACTGCTTATTTATTCTTCATTTGCATGTCTTTCTAAATATTTACAACACAATATCATATCATGTCATCGTTCCTACCTTATTACATGTTTATTGATAGCTAGTTTTTTTGTTTATCAGTTTATATTGTTTCTGTTGTGATGTTTGCTCAGATTAAATGTATTTAGCAAATTCTATTTCACTTCTTCACTACTTATTTATACTTTTCCTCACTCACTCTCTTCCTAATAGCTTATATAATAAAATTTATAGTCTTCCAAATGATCTCAAATATTTTATGCGGGATTGAATGGGGCTTAGAAATGGGACTCGAGACATGCGTTTCATCGTATTTGGGACTTGTCAGCTGAATGTACCTGCAGTCCCCCAAACGGCCAAAGGTGGGGAGAGTCACCCCTCCCCCCCTTTAAATGCTCTCACATGGCCACGCATATATAGCCTCTGCCAGGGAAGTCCTACTCACTACCTTCTCGTGGTGGGAGTGTTGTTTACCAAATTGAGAGGACGAAAAGCGAATATCTGGCACTTTAACCGGGTTGGTGGACACGGAGAGTCCACCTAGGAGAGTTGGAAAACCCTGATTCCAAACCATTGGTGCACATGGGCTCCAGGATCGTGATGGAACAAATGGCGTATGAACCAATTATTGGTCACCAGCAACCATGGGACTGCATCTCCTGATGTTGTTTCACTACCTTATGGATCAGACCTTTAGGTCGAAGGCTCGGTGTGTGGCCCCCTAAGAAAACAATCTGTGTCGGTCTGGGCACCCGGACAGTATCACAGTCCACACACAAATCAAGTGGCTTGTGTGTTGCATATGTATTCGGTGCCCCTTTGTACCAATATTTGTGTTTAAATAAATAAATAGATAACTTCAGACACCATTGTGTCATCCCCATAGTTGCTGAGTCCAGATAGTCACTAGTCCGCTAGCCACCATAAGATGCAGGTACACATAGCTGATGAGCCTCAAATGGGACAGAACGTGCCTCCTTGATTCCACTACTAGCTACCATTCAACTCTACTTAATATGCTTGTGACTTAATGGCAATATTAAAATAATCCACTCAGAATGCACATCCAAAAATATGATCAACTGCAGTCCTAAACAGCAATCCTAGGGTTAAAAAAACCAATAAAAATGAACCTTAGATATGTTTACATATGTTATTTTAGTTGATTAGGAATATATAATTTATCTAATAAAACTACAAACTGAGGTCATGTGAATGCTAGTTTAGAAAATATTTTGATTTGCATCAACCTAAAGACTCCTTCAAAATATTTCCTTTCTGTTGCAAATACACATTTGTTCCGTCTTTATCTCCATTGTGCCGAAACACACCTCAAAAGTTATGCCATTTAATCTCTTTATCTTTCCAAACAATTTTCTGAACTTCAAATTTGTAGATAGAATACTTCATGTTAACAATTTTTAATAATTCCGTTCATCACTAAGCATCTGAAACTTTAAATTGGCATTTGGAAAGTACAGTCGATCAGTCACAATGCCGAACCTATTACTTACGTACTTCGGTCCAAGTTGTTGTACCCCATTAGCACAGCGAGATGAAATTGTGAAACCAAAATCCTAGATTAGTAGAAGTATTAATAATATTAGTGGTAACAGAAAAGATAAGGCATCGAAGATAAGATTCTAGAAAAAAATAAGTTAGTGAAATACAAAAAAAATGTGAGGAATTTAGATGCTTAGAATTCGGAGCAAAGACAATGAATTGATGCATCTGAGCCACTACAAACGACTTGAGCCATGTCACTCAAAGTCTGTAACCACTGATTACGATAATCACTCTGACCCCCAATCATATAATCTACACCTATTATTATGGAATGCACAAAAGACAATAAATGTTCAATGTTTTTATCAACACAGAAAGTCGATTATGGTCTTAAACGTGTATCATCCTTACAAATTACTATTTACCTTAAAATTCCTTCTTATCCATATGACCATTACTATTACTGCAGAAAATTCCTCGTGTTTGGATAAATATAATTACTTTTATTATAACACCACATTTATTTAATCCACACGAAAAGATATGCTCTAATTAAATCAATCTATCATTGAAAAAGAAACTAAACATTTTTTTATTGCGTTTTGTAGTTGATTATGATATCAAATCCATGTGTATACTTTAGATTGACTTTCATTTATTTGCATTGCATATATGATCTGAAACAAGTTATATTAATGGTGATTTAGTGTTTTATCTTGACTAAAAATAATATGTTTATGTTGCTTAATGAATATCTAATATTTACAATAGCATTTTTATAGAGTAAGA